AATTTTAATATTATATTATATTTTTTAATTATTTTTATTTGGCCCACGGACCGGCCCTACCTATATTTCTCAAGCCCCACAAATCAACAGGCTTATTCAGGCCGGGCTAAAAAGCCCTTTTCTTAAATGGGCTCCAAAAATCTTAGCCCGACCCTATTAAATCCCGGGTTAGGCCAGGCCGGCCCAACGGGCCTAGCCCATATTGACGGCTCTACTTTCAACAGAATCCTTTTGATTCAACTTTTCCACTTCTAATTTGGTTGGCAAAAATAAGCTTCTGTGGACCCCCATTTGATTAGACTCTTCACCCAATACTTGAGTATGACACTGTTTTCTACTTGCATATCAGTCTGACATGACCAAAACATTCGACTAAACGTAATTCATTAAATTTACCAATCAAGTGTATGCAACTGGCATATGGAAAGTAGCAGAGCAATCAACGAAACAGCTTTGACAATCACAAAGCTTTAAGGTTTTACGTCAAACGGTAATTGGCAATATCTTGCCATCAAACTGCATTTCATTCAGTAGTGAAAAAAGAGAGACCAAAACCAGTATCAGCATTCTCACCTGACAAACCAGGCTCAATCCAAAACAAAATTTCCAGCGTCTGGAAAAAGGAGCAAGATAAATAAAACTCAATTTTCCCTACCCTTAGCCTATTCTTGAATTGCTCGTAGCATATTTCTGAAGGAACTCATTTTACTCTTCATTTTCTGCCTCTATCAATATCCTCTTGCATGCTTCATAACACATGAAAGATATTCCTGCGGCAGGAACTAACTTCATGCAGCTGGGACCAAGCCCTTTATACAGACCATGAATCCCATCCTGTTCAAGTATACTCACAAGAGCATGAATTACATTCTTGTAAACTGCTCTTCCACTAACAGCACCCACCTGCATGTGCTTACGAGCCACCTCCAGAGGAAAGGTTGCAGTGCTAGATATAGCACCAGCTGCTGATCCAATCAGAAGAGTCTCTATGTTTCCAATCTTCTCTTCCTTGAAAATCTTTCTGTAGGCTTTCCGCAATGAATCATAAGCAAAGTAGTTTGTCGCGGCATAGGGAATGACTCCTATAACACTTGGAGTGAGACCTCTATAGAGCTCAGCAGGCCCACCCTCTTTCAATATTTTTACAAATGCATCAAGTAAACCATTGTAAACTCCTCTCTGCAGATAAAAAGGTTGGCATTCAATCAAACAAGTACAGTTTTTATAAGAAGTTTCAGAGGAAAACCTTCAAACTGTCAACAAGAACTTCATTTTTACCTGAATTGTCAACCGAGTCTTCACTAGCTCAAGTGGATATGTCAGTAAGGTAGAGCTGACTCCGGCACACGCTCCTGCAACTAATGAGGCAGGAATTGGAATTTTGGATTGCTCACCGGGTTTAGATGACAAGTTCTTATTAACAGTATCATACACAAAAAGCTGCATTAAGAAAAAACGATATCAGCAACGACAAGCCACTTTTAGTAGTGAAGCATTCTCCCATCCGTAGTTGGAAGCAGAACTGTCTGACCCAAAAGGTTAACTCAGCAATTGACACTTTATTCATACATGACAAGTTACGAATGTTTAACACAACATGGAATTACCATATTCAAGTTGTATCTACAATAAAATCCAGACTAAGTAATAGAAAGAAGCCTGCTACAAACCATTCAGCTTACAGGAGCTGGTCTTTCAGAACTCTAAATCAACCAACACAATTGCACCACAGTACTTGTCAACTTCAGTAATTGAGTAACACTAGCTTTCTCCAGGAAACAAGCGACACATTGATATTTATGTAAACATTACATCTATCTCATTTGGCTACGTAAATAAAGTAAAACAGAGTGCAAGGGTATGTCAAACTAGTTAGACAGGAAAGCAGCACTGCAGCAGAGTAAATATTAGCAGGTTTCACCCCTAAAAATCTATTCAACAGTCACTTACATACTGATTTAAACTTCTAAGGTTGAAGAACAATTTCAACAAAAATAGTTCTCATCTCTCATTTCCATTTCCTCTCAATTCCCTTTAAGGGAGTCAAAAATAGTTACTCTGAAGTAAAATCAAGTTTTCTGATGCATACATATCATGCACCGTAAAAACTGTGAAAAATTTCACAGGCTAGAAAAGTAGAACACTGCATCAGAGGAACAATAAGAGGATTAAACCAATATTTTGGAATTGCATCTACATATTCATGCAACGCTAATCAGTCAAAATGGAAGAATAACTCATTACAAAAGAGGAGCTTCAACTAATTTTGTTGTGTTCACCAGACTTGATTGATGATTCACTACCCAAAGGACCAGTAGAACAAAATATAAGGAAAAAATGAGCCACCATGCCGTTTATCCTAAACCACCAACCCATCAAAATTAAAATTGCCTCCGTTAACAAGCAGTTTCACTCCAACAACAACTAAACTACTACTATTACTATGCCTTGATATCTACCTAGTTGGGCTCGGCAATGTGAAATTCTCATTAACCATGTTGCTCAATTTAGACCCAGCAATCCAATATAGCAGGTTAACTCCAATAGACAAAAAGAAAAAAATGAGGCTAAACAAGTAATGTCAAAGGCACTGATTGAGGATTATTGCATATAATTCTCAGAAAAAATGCTTTGCTAACATTCCTTACAAGAAGTTATTGTATACATGAAAAGAAAATCAATCAATCAGGTCGGGAAAACAATGGGACACAAAACACTTGCTTGATTTCCAGAAAGTTCATTACTAAAGAAGATTGTCGATAGATCCTAGCTTGTTCCTTATATTCTTGATCCACTGACCAAAGTACCAATAGCAACAAAAGATCAAAAAAAGAAAAAAGGAAGTAGCATCCTTAGATGTTTAATCCTACAACCCCTCAAAACAAAAAAACATGTCTCCATCAGCCTAACATTAATAGAGAAACAAGGAACATATATGCACAGAGAGTAACGATGAGGTTGAATACTCATCTAATAGGTAAACGCTGCCACAGCCACTAATAAGAATGGCAGCAAATACAAAGTGTTAACATCAAAATTATTGGTGATCTGTTATAAGGGAACTTCTCCATCAACCTAACATTAATAGAGAAACAAGGAACATACATCTACTTCAATTTCTTGAATTTTAAGAGAACAGTCATTGTCTGAATGATGACAACTTATGTCAGTTTTATTGTGGTTGAAGTCTGAAACAAAATTTCAAACTTTCCGAGACTTCAAATCAGCTAAGCAAGGAATTCATACAATAAAATAGAACAACTCCTAATGAGATAAAACATTTTTATCAATGACAAACATTAGTAGCATAAAAGGGGCCTAAACTCAATTTTACAAAATACAATTAATTTTTACCTCTACAGCTTTGCTAGGGGCAACTCGAATCACATTAACAAAGTTACCCCTAAACAATCCAGTCCATCCTTCAGTCTTCATGATACTATTGAACACCTCAGTACTAGAATGTCCACTACTTCCCACCATCAAATGTGTCCTTATTGTCTCCAATGGAGCTACAGCAGTTCTAGATATCGCCCCTGCGATTGCACCACTTATTAACCTCCTTAATGAAGGATTTGAAACCTTAAGCTTAATCTTTAGCCCACCTTTCTTCTTCTTCTCCTTCACAACCCCTTCTTCCTCCCCATTCCCTACAATCTTAAACCCCTCAGAGAATGATAAATATTTCATACACAAATCGGAATAAGGTAGCTTGAATCCACCATTTTCATCCCGGGAATCAGATGGATTAGGTGATGAAACACCAAAGCCCATACTTCCCATCTGACCAACTGATGCAAACAATCCACCAGGACAAAAGTTTGAATCTTGGAGACTCCATTGGAGCCCCAAATGAGAAATAGACATACTCCCATCCTTTTTACACTCCAACGCTTGTATATCCCTTCTAGCCATCAATCTAGACTTCCCCACAAAAAGCCAAAAAATACCCTTTGCCCCCTTCTCAATGTAGAACTTGAGAACACAAGAAAATAGTCAGATTTTATGTGAGCAGACAATTTGGGACATTCAAAGAATCGATTTTTACTAAGTGGGTATATGAAAATCCCATTCTTGAGAAGAGGGGTTGTAAGATTAACGAGTAAAGATTGAATTTTTGAAGAGATTTTGATAATATCTTGGGGGAAGGGAGGCGATATATGCTATGTTTGTTAGGATGAAAAATGAGTAACAACAGGTGGTGACTCTGTTCCTCTCCCTTCCAACCCCAGAAAACGAAAGGAGGAAAAGATTTGTAGAAATCACTCTTATACATATAACCCCTCCTTTTCCTATAGGTTTAGGGTTTTTTACACCCATTACACCTCTACTACTTGTAATATATATATATATATATATATATTTTATTCATACTATTTTTATTTATTTATAATAATAAATAAATCTATAGTTTGAAGGTATTGATTGAGTGTGTGGATATGTTGCTTAATAATGTGGGTTTTTTTTTCAAAAAAAACAAAACATAAATACACCATTTAAGATATTATAATCTCTAAATTTTCTATCATTTAAAAAATTTTAAAAAATCTTTCTCAAATACATCTCTATCCCTCGTCGGATAAAACTATATTCCTCTCGGATACATCCTTATTCACATCAAGTAATGTATCATTCGCAATGTATCAGACATTCCGGGAGTATATTCGAAAACAATGAAAAATTCAGGGGTATCGTAATTGGGGAAATTTCTGGGATATGATGTAATTAACCCCTAAATGTATGAGATTTCTGTAAGTTATATTATCTTTTTTGAGAAAAGTATTGAAAACAACTCTAAATTTGACGCGAATTATTAGTTTCATCTTCCAACTATTGACAGTCTTAAAAACATCATTTACTTGATTTACTAACCTTAAATAACCATCGATCTAGTAATATGAGTGAAATACACTCCTTAAATTCTCGTCAAGTTTAGTGGTATTTTCAACACTTTTCTCATTTTTTTTATTAAGAGTTCAATGCCCACAAGAGTTTGAAATCACTAGCTATGTCATATGGTTTATGAAATGAATTTACAAAAGAAATAGAAAAGAATTGGTAAAACCGGAAATATAGGAGAATGTGTATGGTAACGAGATTGTTTTAAATATTCTGGTAATATGTTTTTTCGAAAAGAATCAGATTTGTATATGCATTTTCACAAACAAATATATTTATCTGTTTTTTTGAAAAAAATATATTCATCTTTATCCCTTGACATTAAATTTTAGGTTTATATATTTACTTCTTATTAGTTAAATTCAATATTATCATCTAATTCTTTTACGTGATATTTTTTTTCAATTAAATCTATTCACCCATTTAAATCCTTTTAACATGTCCGCTTGACCTATTAAAAGTTTTATTATTCATTGATGATCAATATAATTCCATCATTCAAATATTGTCCAAATTAAAATTCTATTTTTGCTATTGTGATAGGCTAAAACTTATTTCAATAATTCTTATTTATTGTACTGATTTTCTAGACTTAAAAATTACAAATAAATAAATCAATCAAAAGCAGAAAATTCAGGTCCTTAATTGCTCTTAATTTAGTAATATATTATGTAAACAAATTTTGTACTAAGCTATTTTTTTCGTGATTTTTTTTAGTTAAATGTGTTTTTTTCCCGCTCGTTGTAGGTATTCACTTTGAAGCCCAATTAGATTTGAATTCGCGTTGGAAAGTCTCATATTAAAAAACTCTCTAACAAAAATGACTACGTATTCGGGTCTCCGAAGAACTCGAACCTAAAACCTCAAGTTAAAAATGAAAAATTATTTGTCACTCAACCACTAGATTACTTTGATTTTGTTGTGATAATGCGTTTCAGCTGCTCCTTTGTGTCATGAGTACTTTTATTCTTTTAGCTCTTTCTTCATTGATTAATTTCATTTTTCAAGTTAGTTAGTACTTTATTGATTGAATTTAGATCTTTTGATTTGATGTTTTGTTCTAACTTGCCTTTATTTCATGTAAATATCTATTTTTTTTATTCTTGAGTTGTAAGTTTTGTTATTTCTCTTGGATGGCCAATCTTGTACCTTTTATGTATCTATATACCTAAAAGGATCATAGTTTGACCCAAAACATCTTTTATTATTGTTCTAATACCACTAATTAAAATTTTAGTAAAAATGCTTTTGTCCTAATAGTACTCCTATCATTTCGTATTACTATGGTTCCGGTTGACCCAAAGCATCTTTTAAGAAAATTTTAATTAGAGATATTTTTATTAAATTAATTTTATCATTGATATATTGGAGCTTTAAAATTCATTATTACTCTATTGTTTTATGTAGTTATTTATAATAAGAGTAAGATGGAAAAAAAAAGTAATAAAATTCTCTTGATTTGTTAAAATGAATAATTAAAATAAAATAGAAGAATTTAATAAATGTATTAGTTATGTTGTTGTTTAATCCTTGGCAGAATTTTTAGCCAATATATGTATAACTACACCTTATTCAATATTATAATATATAATTAATTAATACAATAAATCATGACATTAGCAATACAATAAATTATTACGAGCAACTTTCACATATAACAAACATAAAAATTATATTTGGATGTTATAACTATAGTTTGCATAATTGCGCTCCATATCAAATTTTATGTTTGTTATGGAGCTTTTGATTTGTATAATTTGCTAGATATATCCAATTTTATACAAATTATTCAGTTTTGTATAAATTCATGTATACATTGTAATTTGTATAATAAGATTTGTATTTATATAATTATAATTGTATAGGACGAAAACATATGTATTTGTATTTGTATATACACTTTTCTCTCGCTTTATACAAACACAAACACATTTTATACATTTGTATACCGAATGGGTAATTGTATACCGAAAATGGCTAATTGTA